CAAAGGCCAGGGCGTAGGCCACCTAAATATGTACATGCCTCATCTAAACCACCCTGACCCTCAAAACCCCAACTCAGTAGAAACACTAGAGTTCAGATCTAGATTAACAGCAATCATCAAAATGTCTTCTAAGTCAAAAAGGGTATTATACAGAACCTAAGTTGATGCCTCACAAAATGCTCGCTCACTTATATAGACAAAACCGAACCCTACCTCCTCAACTCCTCCTGGTTTTGCCTATATAACTGAGCCCTAAGTTCATCTGCGGACTTCTCTACTATCCTACCCTGTCTATCATACATTTTACCCCCTACCTCTGAGATCTTCCCTGCTGCCTTATCCTCAAGAAACTCGAGACAGTCCAAAGTCAGATACACGTCCCTTTTGCAGTAAAAACATAGCTGATCTACCTTTCTCTTGAACTTCCTCTTCCTGGGCTGAGGAGGTGGCGATGAAGGAGATCCCACCAAGGTACCGACACCCCCCTGCTGCTCTGATCGAGGAACTGCGGTACTAACGACTTTCTGCTGCTCTGTCCTCGGAACCGGTCCACCAGACCCAGATCCAGTAGCCTAAGATCCTAGTCTGCCTCTCAAATCCTCTGTCGCTGGGACGTACTCGGGCGTGTCCAACCTCTGAGGCCTCCTCTCGAGTGTCGCCGTGGCACTGCCGTGGGCTGCTTCTCAATCTCCTTTGGTCCATACTCAGGTGTGCCTATCCTCTAGAGTCTGCCCTCGATGGCACCCTCCTCCTCAATCCTCATCTCTCTCTCAAGAGGCTCCTCTATCCTCTGCTCAGGTGAAAACAAACTCACCTCCTCCTGCATAGTATGCACCGTCTCAAGGAGCACTCCCATGGATTCCTCTACTGAGCCCTGAGCCGGCTCACTGCTAGATGATGGCAGCCCCTCCTCTACTGCCAAAGGTACGACTGGGCCCGCCACTGCTACTGGCAGTGTCGCGAGCTCAGTAGGGGCTCTGAACTCGAATGCCTCTCTCTTCGCCTGTCTCTGTGCTCTCGCCTCCTCTGTCTCCAGGATAACCCTCCCCATAGGTGGCTCCTGGCGAGGCTCTGTCGCAGATGGCTGTCCTGGCAGTCCCTGTCCTGGATGCCTCTGCTCTCCCTGCCGGCTGCTCTCTGGTCTGTCCACCTTTCCCTGGGTTTGCTGCTTCAGGTTCTCAATGATAGCTGCCTGGCTGGCCACCAAAGCCCTAAGTTCCCGAATTTCCATCTCCATAGCCTCCAGACGTACTCCATGGCTGGCTTCCTTCATTTTCTTCCCCGCCAGATCGCCCTCCAATAACAAGTGCCGGTCAAAAGTGGTCTTGGCCAGGAACTTGATTTTACGATCTAACCTTTCTTCCGCCTTCCTGGCCACCCCAAACCCGGCTCTGACAAGCGATGGAAGCTCCTCTCCTCTCTGCTCCCAGAAGTCCCTCCATATCTCAGGGATC